GACTTTAAATCTAGAAATTGTTGAAAAAATAAAAGAGGAATATTTGTTATTAATGACATCAAGTTCAGTAGAAAATCTCCAGTTTAAAAATAAAATTAATATACTTGTCACTCTTGTGTTCTTTGCAAGGCAGTGATTTTTATGATCAGGCTATAGATAAGGTCAAATTAAGATTTATTTGTTCCTTAATAAATTCTTCACATTTATAATCAAGATATTTCCTGTGATTAAAAATTCCATTTGAATAAATATAAAGAGCTTATAAATCAGATAAATACATAATGGTGTTTCTTTTTTATCAGAAACAAAAGAAAAATTATATGCAGTAAAACAGTGAGTGGTTCCTTTTAGGGCTCTCTTAAATGTGCTAATCTTTTCTCATTAGATGCTTCCTCTAGAAGATTCTAAAGGTTATTTTGAAAATGGTCAGAATAACATTTTTGAAGCTATCGGTCTTACCCAACCAGCTTACTGAGGTTTGACTTCATAATTGCCAAATCCAGTGAATACTTTTGGGTTTTCATTGTCTTTGATCTTATGGTGGCACTTGGCACAATTAACCCCTTGTGCCTCTGGTAGATATGCTCCGTTCTCTTTCCCCTTATTTTTATTTACCATCACTCATGATAAATTTTTGCTTCCCTGACTGCTTCTATTAAAGGATTTCTTCTTTCTCCCACACTTAAAATGCTGTGATTTCCTAACATTCCACAAATATGTGATGATTCCATTTTCTCTCACTCCCTCATTCACTTCTCGTACCCTCATTCAAACCTCCATGATGGTGTTGTATGTGCTACTCTATGTGGTATAAAGCTGATTCAGATGCCTAAATGGATAAAAGAATGCAAATAGATGAAGATATGAGTTTTTCAGAAAAACAAAACAAAAAATACAAGAGAGGGATTAAAAAAAAAAAAAAGAAAGAACATGCCTTATCTAAAGAAATTGCCACTTGACCCCAATCTTAAATTTTATAAAGGAATGAAAGCCCAAATGTTCATTCCTTCGTTCACATCGTATATACTGTGTGCCTGGCACGTTGGCATTCAAAGTCAGACAGTAAATTGAATCATGTTACCTCCTCTCCTGGGGCTGGACTCAGTTCTAGAGATCTGAGTCTTTATGGAGTCACGCAAAGATTCACTATGTTTACACTATCTTCCTTTTGAAAAAGTCATAAATCTAGATACTTTCTGTGGAATTTTCAGCCTTACAGTGCTGCCTTATTTTAACAAAGCAGAACCTTTTAAATCAGTGCTTCCATGTTCACAAATTGTCCTACAAAATAATATTCCAACATCTGAGCCTGAAGTACCAAGACCTGCAAACAGACAGCTATTTTTTTCTCATCTTCATCTCCTCTTTTGTTTCGTATCTATTCACAGTTGAACATGCCTAACTCCTTCCTTCTTCTGTTACATCTTATGGATAATCCTCTTCACTAGCATGCATTTTGGTTTCCCTCCTTTTCACCCCTGGTCACTCCATACTCATTGACAGCCCAAATGTTCATCTGTAATCTGACCCTAATCTTACTGTATAGAATTACTCTTACTCTGCCAGTATTCTACAGATTGCCCTACATATTCTTACTTGAATGCTCACCAAAGGGTTTTAAGGCTCTTGAGGCCAAAGAAACTATAGTTTCATTTGTGTATCCTGAGAATCAGGCTTAGTACTTTGCACCAAGTCAGCATTTCCTACACAAGTCAGTGCTTCCTAAATAACTGTAGAATGATCTCCAAGGTTTGGAATCGCGCTCTCTTCAAACTAGCAGTGGCGATAACATACATTAGAAAGATTTATGTCCCACACACGGAAAACTAGATATTCTATGAATCGAAGCTTTGTTTCCCATATAAACAATCTTGTTATAAAAATTGCCCTTTGATTTAACATTTCAGCATCAATTTAACATGATCTACTTTTATAACCATGATATTGGAAATTAGTCAGGTTCACCTGTACCAAAGTCCTTGTCCCCTCTCTGCACCTGTTCCCCCTGCCAGATCTCAACAGACCCTTACCAAAACTCCTGGGACAGCTACCCAGGCTGGTTTATAGATTTGTAATTTATAACCATGAACTTGTCACGTGCTGTAACCGAAAAACTTTTTGTCTCTCCCTTTTGAATTTGAGTTTTCTTATTTATTGCTTTCAAATTCCCAAGACCGTATTAAAAGGCATGTGTGAGGGGTGAGGATATAAGATGATGATGCAAAATTGAAATGAGAGACAGACCTTGAGGGGCAGCTGTATGCCAACATAATTTTAGGCACTACACATGTGCAACCTGATCTCCTTCCTTATAACATCCCTGGGATTTATGTGGCACTATCTACATCGGAAGACTGAAGAAGATGAGGTTGAGATAGTGTGTTCTCTGTGAAAGAATTTTGGATGCTACATGAAGAGGAAGATCTTAAAAAAATAATTTATCACTACATAGTCTGTTCTTTTCCTATATGTTTTCTTCTGTAAATCTAGATGCTGCACAAATTTATCATAACCAGTTGCCAGGAATCTACTGAAATTTGTCTTCTTTGGAGGTTGGCTTCTAAATGATGCTCACAGGACTCAGTGATTCAACCCTCAGACCTGAGGATGTGCGGTTATTCTAACTCTGTAGTTTTAGGGATTATCAGGCTCACCTTCTTAAAGTTTGGGGCCTCCAAGGCTACACACAACAGTGCTCGGGGGGGGGGCATAGGGTCCCAGATTTTGAACCCATAGAGCGTTGTATTCAAAGCACACTCCAGACAATGAGTTGTATATCCCTGGCCTCAAGAATTTAGCCTGTTTCAGTTTTGTTTTTAAGCTATTTGGTTTTCAGTATTAATGAACTTCTCTTTTAACCAAAGTAGTGATACTCACTGTAGTATCTTGGAGTTCATTTCCTGAAAGTGATCATGAACTTTTTGCAGTCATCAAAATATAAGATGAATGGCGTGCATGCTGCATAAAGCTGAAATTATAACAGTATATGTGTAATAAACAGTATTTCTATATATTAAACAGTATATATTGATATATAAAACTATTTGCAGATATGAAAACAATATATTTCATAGGTGTGTGTATTTCTGTATTACACTAGAAAAATTAATAAGGTTGTCAGATATCAGAGGGAACACACATCCGACCCGGGTCTGATTCCTCCGTCCCTCTAGGAGAGTCCAGGAAGCTACCGATAGTATGCCACCCGCACAGCAGAGCCTGGAAAGCTACCTGTGGCGTATTTGATATGCCAAAAACAGTAACAACAAGTCTCACAATGGAGATGTTACTGGTGTCTGTGGGAGCAAAACACTGAACAACTGGAGGACATTGCTACAGTGCTAGAATCAGATGGTTACATATCTCTGCAGACTGTAGGAGTAACAGTAACTACTATTGCTATGGGCACTGATGCAGATGTTTCTCTTTCCATTGCAATAAAGGAGGAGTGCACTGTTCCTGTGAGGGATAGATTTTTCTTAAAAGAGCTAGTTCAACCTTGATAAAGTTCCAATAAAGAGAAATTTCAGAAACCATATTTGATAGTTGAATGTCTGGAAAATTTGCCTTGAACTTTAAGTGTCTTATTTGTGTTTCTGTTTGTTTCAAAATAGTTGACTGCAGATTGAAATGAACAACAGCAGAACTTGCGCTATTTGCACAATTGTTCAGTAAACTCTGAAAGACATGAAAACTGTGGGGCTGATACTCATTGGCGAACTTGCCATTGTTAAGTGTCCATGGACTTTGCCCAAGATATTTTTCTTTTATGGGGAGAGTAGCCTTGGCCAACTAGGCGGGCACTTCAGTGTGAGGGCCTGAGTGTGTGAAGCTGATAAGGGTTTTTCCATGTAAGGGATTAGCCAGGCCACAGCCAGCAGTGGTTAGGAGACCCTCAGTGACCTCAGCACCGATTGGTACTCAGAGCTCCATTCATTGCCAGGGATTGAACCAGGGTTGACCTCAAGCAAGCCATGTGCTTTAGCCCTGGTAGTACGTCTCTGGCCCCGTCAAGATATATTTAGTGTTCTCCTTTGCACCATCATTGAGAAACTTAAAATGCCATTAAATTTTCCAAAGACCGTCCCTTAAGGGCAATCCTGCTTTCAGTGTAATACCACTGATTTAAATCTTCCAAACCAAAATTAGCATGTTTTTGAAAAACTCACGTCCCCCTGGTTTTAAGTGCAGTATAAAACAGAGATATACATAAACTGGTTCCTCCCTTCACTTAACAGACAGAGACAATGGTTATTTATCTTCATTTAGATGATTTTTATTTTCTCGTTGTTTGAAAGACACATCTTATGATGCTTAGCATTTGCTCCTGGCTCTGCACTCAGGAATTATTCCTTGTGATGCTCTGGGGACCATATCAGATGCCGTAGTCGAACTTGGATTGGCTGTGAACAAAACAAGCACCCTACCTGCCATTTTGTTTCTCCAGCTCATGTAGTTGATTTTGAAAACCAGGGTTTTTTTTTTTTTTCAGAATCAGAAAGATGACAAGCAGCAGGGAACACTCAGAACTTCTCAAAGAGGCATCAAAACAGAGTGAGGTGGTAGGGGGTATGTATAACAAAAGCTAGAATGGAGAATCAAGGAATCTGATGGGGGACAGCTGCTGTCAGAACACAATGGCAAGTAACACTAAGATTTAAGATTCTCATAAAGCTGTCACATCCAAAAGGAAATTAAAGTGGGCAATGCGTGAAGTAAAAGTTGGTTATGGTTGCTCCTTTCACAGTACTGAAGTTTGGAACTGGAGTTTGAGCGAATTTGTAGTTCATCAATTGTAAACCTAGAAAGCACCTATTTCTTTTCATGGGAATGCATTTTTTTTTCAGTCTGCTGATCTTGGGAATATTTGATTATATTCACCCAGTCTGTGTAGGATGAATTCATAGTTGTGGTCCATAGATTCATTGCATCCACAATCCTGGGTTTTGAATTGCCAATAGATTCTGACTCTCTCTATCTTTTTCTTTGTCTCTTGGCAGGTATGACTTTGTAGAAGTGGAGGAACCCAGTGACGGAACTGTATTAGGGCGCTGGTGTGGTTCTGGTGGCGTGCCAGGAAGACAGATTTCTAAAGGAAATCAAATCAGAATCAGATTTGTGTCTGATGAATATTTTCCTTCTGAACCGGGGTTCTGCATTCACTACAGTGTTGTCACACCAGTAAGTACTTAGAGATCCACTTATTTACTAGTTATTTACATTCATCCCCATATCAGACAGGAGAATGACAAGTCTCTCTCTCTCTCTCTCTCTCTCTCTCTCTCTCTCTCTCACGCGCACACACACTCACACACACACACATCTTTTTCTTAGATTATTTTTGCCATATGTCAATGTAGTTATCAGAAAAGAATTGAATGTTGCCATTGTAGATTGTCATTTAAGTACCTAATAAGTACTTATCACTATTATGAAATAAAAATAACATTGAGTAGTTATTATTTAAGGATCACTATTAAAAATTTGCACTCCGTGAAGTCTTTTTAAATTAAATAAATTTCAAATTTGAATCATATTAAACAATAATTCTTTTTATTTTGCCAAATTTTTAGTAATCCTTATTATCTTTCTTATGTCTCTTATTCTCATATAATACTCTTAATGTTACTCATTAAGGTGAATAAAATGATACTTATAGTAGTAAGGTAAATAAAATGATACTTTATACCATAGTAATATGGTGATTCATATTTTCATATATATGAATGAATACATTCCAAAACTGTAGAATTGTAAGAAAAAACAAGTTTGTCACTAATATTTTTCTCTTTGTTCGTTGTTTGTCTTTTTAAAGATTTTTTTTAATTGAATCACTGTGAGAGAGAGCCTTACAAAGCTATTCATGATTAGGTTTCAGTCATACAGTGTTCCAAAAACCCATCCTTTTTCACCAGTGTACATTTCCCAGCACTAATATCCCCAGTTTTTCTCCCATACACCCCCTACCCAGGCCTCCATGGCAGCATTTTCTTCTCTCTCTCCCCTCCCCCCATCTCTCCTTTTGGGCATTGTGGTTTTCAGTACATATACTGAAAGGTTATCAGGTATATCCTTTTACCTGCTTGTAACAGTTCTTGTCTAGCATATTTCCAAGTATTAATTTCATATTGATCCCTAATCTATCTTACCTACCCTTCACCCCACACACACACTTGTGGTAGATTCCAAACTTTGGCCAGTTCCCATGGTCCCGGTTTTCCCTGATCTTGTATATTAGTCTTCTACTGTATATATTTTACACACCACAAAAGAGTGCAGTAATTCTATATCTGTCTCTCTCCTCCTGACTCATTTCACTCAGCATGATACTCTCCATGTCCATTCATTTATAGGCAAATTTCATGACTTCATTTTTCCTAACAGGTTCATTGTATTCCATTGTGTAGATGTGCTACACAGTTTCTTTATCCATGTGTCTGTTTTCGGGCACTCAGGTTGTTTCCAGATTCTAGCTATTGTGAATAGTGCTGCAATGAACGTAGGAGTGCGGATGGTGTTTCTGCTGTGTGGTTTTGGTCCCGTAGAGTATATTCCCAGAAGTGGTATTTCTGGATCAAATGAGAGGTCAAGTTCAAGTTTTTTTGAGAAATATCCATATTGTTTTCCATAATAGCTGGAACAGTCGGCATTCTCAGCAACGATGAACTAGAGTCACTTCTCCCTACATCTGATCCAGCGCTGGCTGTTCTCGTTCTTTTTGATGTGTGCCAGTCTTTTTCCGGTGTGAAATGATATCTCATTGTTGTTTTGATTTGCATCTCCCTGATGAATAACGATGAAGAGCACTTTTATCATGTGCCTTTTGGCCATTCAAACTTCTTTGAGAAAAGAAGTTTCTGTTCATTTTTTCTCACCATTTGTTGATGTGGTAGGATACTTTTTTCTGATTAAGTTTTACCAGTGTCTTGTATATCTTTGATATTAACCCCTCGTCAGAAGGATGTGGAGTGAATAACCTTTCACATTTTGTAAGCTGTCTTTTTGTCTTGATCACTGTTTCTTTTGAGGCACAGAAGCTTCTGGGTTAAATGTAGTCCATTTATTTATCTTTGCTTCCATTTGCTTGGTCAGTGGTGTTTCATTTGAAGATGCCTTTCGCTTCAATATCATGGAGGGTTTTGCTAACAGTTTCTTCTATGTACATTTTGGATTTGGGTCTGTACATTTTGTATTTGGGTCTGATGTTTAGATATTTAATCCATTTTGATCTAACTTTTGTGCATGATATTCCATAGAAGTCTGAGTCCTTTTTTTTTTTGCACATATCTGGTTAGTTTTCTCAGCACCACTTGTTAAAGAGAGTTTCTTGCTCCACTTCATATTTCTTGCTCCCTTATCAAAGATTAAGTGATCATATATTTGTGATCATAAGTGTCAGGATATTCAACTCTATTTTATTGATCAGTGAGTCTGTTTCTATTCCAATACCATGATGTTTTAATTACTGTAACTTTGTAGTACAGTTTGAAGTTGGGGAAGGTGATGCCTCCCATCCACTTTTTTCCTACAATTGCTTTAGCTATTTCTGGGGTTTATTGTTACATATGAATTTCAGAAGTGTTTAATCAGTTCTTTGAAAAATGTCATCACGGTTACGGTCCTGCCGTTGTTCATCAATTTTCTCAAGCGGGCCCAGTAACGTCTCCATCATGAGACTTGTTGTTACTGTGTTTGGCATATTGAATACATCACGGGGAGCCTGCCAGGTTCTGCCATGCGGGCCAGATACTCTCGGTAGCTTGCCGGGCTCTCCAAGAGGGACAGATGAATCAAACTCAGATCGGCAGTGTTGGCTGCTTGTAAGGCAAACACCCTACCGCTGTGCTATCTCTCCGGGTATCCTTATAGGGAATCTGTATAATTCTTTGGGGAGTATTGCCATTTTTTTTCTTTTTGTGTCACACCCAGCGATGTTCAGGGGTGACTCCTGGCTGTGCACTCCTGGCAGTGCTTTGGGGGACCATATGGGATGCTGGGAATCGAATCCAGTTTGGCCGCATGCAAAGCAAACACCCTACCCGCTGTTCAAATTGCTCTAGCCCCACTATTGTCATTTTGACAATGTTAATTCTCTGAATTCATGAGCAGGAGAATGTGTAGCAATTTTCTCTTTTATTTTTTTTAAGTAGAACTTTGTAGTCTTCTTTGTACAGGTCCTTAACCTACTAGTTAATTGATTCTGAGGTACTAGATTTTCTGAGGCATGGTTGTGTAGAGGATTGTTTTTAATATCACTTTTTTCTCTTTCATTATTTGCATATAGGGAAGGCATGGACTGTGGGGTATTGATTTTGTAACCTGCCATTTTACTGTACGAATCTATTGTTTCTAGGAGCTTTTTTCTAGAGGCTTTAGAGTTCTCTGAGTACAGTAATAGAATTTTAACAATAGTTATGCCCTTAGTTGGTGCTTTTATATAACTAATATTTTATATTTCCCCACACATGAATTGACACATGAATTTCTATGCCCCAAAAAATTTACTCTTTAGATGTGTGTAGCTTTTGCCATTGCTCTTTCTATATTTTCTGGAGAGAGACAAACTTATTAATATTAATTCTTTTCAAATCAGTGTGTAATGAAACATTTAAGTCGTTCCTTATTTTTTTAAAAACTTATCTTCATATTTGTTTTGCTTAGACAATACTCATGTCCTTCTGTGTCCCCAAAGAAAGATTTGGAATTCTCCTGTGCAATTCTCATGTGCATTAAGAAATCTGTTTCTCTTGTGGGGGTTGGGTAATAGTATAGGGGTTAAGGTACCGTCCTTACATGCAGCTGTCCCTAGTTTAATCTTCAACACCATATGGTTTCTGACCTCCATCATGAAGGATCCCTCAAAACAGAGTCAGGAAAAGCCCCCATGCACCACTTAAACCTACACCTCCCAAAATTTAGACATCTCTCTGTTTTGTGGAATAATAATTATTATTGTATTTTAAATATATGTATATATATATTTGCTTGTACTCTTTGCATACCATTTTTTACATGTAACCTGTTAGCTGCACTACAGCATAAATATTGAAAACCATCAGCTAACTTACCTATTTCTGCTTATGGTAGTAATTCAGAATTGGTTATATGCTGGTGCCCTCTAGTATACTTTTGAAATATTATCAATAATGTTGCTATATAAAATTTTGCAAAAATTTGTTCCTTGAAGTGCTTTATGTGTGATTCAGCAGATCAATAGACTATTGGAAATAGGGCCTAGTGTGGGCCACAAGACTGACACGGTTGCCTTAATGAGCTCTGAAAATGCATGCAGCAAGCTAGCAATTGTTAAGGCAAATTAGATAAGTAGGAAATCAATAAAGAGCTTTTATATTATCTTGATTTTGTGGTGTTAAACAGAAAATTCCCTCTTTGGTTGCCCTATATCAAATGTGTGAAATATTATTTAGCAGTGAGTGCAAGGAACAAGTATTGTTTTGTAAACAGCTAAGAAAAAAATGATAAAAACAAACCGAAGTTTAAAATTGGTAATTTCTTCAGTCAGTAACCTTGAAATCATTTACAAGTACAGTTTAAGTTTAGTGACTAAGATAAAATAGATACTATACTCTATATTGTAACTCAATCAGTTTCCATATTTATTAAATGTTTCTTTGTATTCAGTTGTGGAATAGTTTTACTACTTTAGACTTTTCAACTTTACTTCATTAATTTGTAACAAAAAATATGAAAACTTAATATTTGTTATTTAAATTTTCATTTTTTATGGTAAGCTCCGCTCCTCATATATCATCACTTGTATATAAATTATGATCCTGTTTGGGAGTAAAAATCTTTGGGATTTATTTTTTATTTTCTATGAAGTGTAATCACGGCAGAGCCTGGCAAGCTCCCTGTGGTGTATATGACATGCCAAAAACAGTAACAATAATGTGTCTCATTCCCCTGACCCTGAAAGAGCCTCCAATATGGCACCTTAGGAAGGACGAGTAAGGAGAGGCTGCTAAAATCTCAGGGTTGGGACGAATGGAGACGTTACTGACACCTGCTCGAGAAAATCGGTGAACAACGGGATGTCAGTGATACAGTGATACAGTGATGATAAATGCATTGTTATTAGAAGCTATGAGTAGACTTTTTAAAGAGACACTTTCAGAGAAGAAAAGCACCTGCAGGCAGGGGGTGGAGGTGGAGGTGATGGG